AGGAAGGGTAATAGGTTGAAGATGATTAAAGTATTTTATATAATTTTGTGGGAATACCACGATGAAACCCCTTTGATACATGCTAGCAAATGAAAATAAATAACATGAAAGGCGAAGCCCTGGGCAGAGTGTAAGCTGAAGCCATGAAGCCCATCATTCAAGATGGGCGGGGACCCTAGATTGGTCTGTTGATCAGGTCCACCCACTCACAGGAGGCAGGGATGCTTTGCCTCATTCCATGTTAGGAACACCTCACAAGTCCACCGGAGGCTCGTGGCGGTGGAAGGCCCTGGACATATCCAGGCATCCCTTCACAGCGGTGGACCCCCAGACCCCTTCCACAAGATGGCATAGTACTTACCTGCTCCCACACACTGTGAACCACCCGTCCATTACGCACAGTGCCCCCGACAGTGCAAGTGCTGGGTAGATAATTACTGTGTTGTGTTGGGAATCATTGCAAGATAAAGAAGCTGTCATGTTGAGTACAGAGATAATTTATTTGAGTGTTTCTGATGTTTAGTTTGATCTTTGGTGAAATAGAACCCGTGAGAGAGAGCTGACTGTGGGTATATATGTGTATATATATATCTATATATCTCATAGATGTTAGTAATATGTACAGTGATATATATATATGTATCTATATACATATATAAAGTAGGCATATCTTTCCCATAAACACTCATAGGGACAAAATCTTTTCATGTTACAGAAAACCTAGAACTGATATCTTTGTACCAGCTATTGGGAGACAATAATTTTATGCCATCTAGTACTTTGTTACTGGGATATTTTAATCAGTGAGATAAATGGAAAACGATAATTTTGTTTATGTTGATCAGTCATGGAATTTATTTATTTCATTGTGGGGCTTGAACTCAGGGCCCAGGGACTATCTTTGGGCTCTTTTACTCAAGGCTAGCGCTCTACCACTTTGAGCCACAGAGCCACTTCCTGTTTTCTAGTGGTTAATTGGAGTTAAGAGACTCATAACACTTTCCTGTCCAAGCTGGATTTGAACCACAGTCTTCAGATTTCAGTATCCTGAGTAGCTAGGATTGTAGGCGTGAGCCAGAGTTTCTATTTATTTTAATGTATTCATGGTCCTACCAGTCTCTAGTCTTTTTAAAACTAAAAACTTAAAAAATAACTTAAAAAACTTAAAAGTTTTTTTTTATTGTGAAAATACTGTACAGAGGGGTTACAGTTATATGAGCAAGGTAATGAGTGCATTTCTTAGCATTTTTGTTTTGTTTTGTTTTTACCAGTCCTGGCTTTTGAATTCAGGGCCTGGGCACTATCTCTAAGCTCCTTTACTTTTTTTTTTTTTGGGTCCGGTTGTGGGGCTTGAACTCTGGGCCTGGGCGCTGTCC